CGGAAGTCCAAGACAACCGTAAACTGCTTTTTGTGCGGACACTTCCTGACCCTTAAGCAAAGCCATGCCGACATGCCGTATGCTTCGGCGCAGCTCCATGTCTCCTCGCCGCGCCTCTGCATATGCTTGATCAAAGATTTTGCTGAGCCGGTAATCGGTTTTCATCATGTACGAACTTATGTAATTAGCGGCAGCATACGCTTCTAAGACGAACTGAAAGTCCATATTTGTGCCACCAAGAAGAATCAACAACTTCGGGTTATAATTGTTTATATTCCTCTCAGCCGGCAAGCGTTTCAGAAACACAGCTGGCTTCATCAAACTAGACCACAATCCGAGTACGTATTCCGCCGACGTCAAACCCACGCTCGCATAGAAGTCGACACAAGTCAGAGCAGAGCATTCTTCATCCAACTGTTTCACAGCACTCACAATTCTCTTAAAGATTCGAGCGCACTCCTTTTTCCTAAAGTCTGACAAACTTTCAGGCAGCGGGCGCAAACTCATGGTCTCGTGAAGCGGTGGGCGTGGAAACCCGAATTGACACTTCGGAGTGCCTCCGGGATTCTTCTGTTTCTGACAGTAATCCGCACTGTGATGATGAAACTGACCGACCAGATTAGCCGCAGAAGCTTGGTCTAGAGAGCACGTTACAAGCCCGTCGATGAACCTCACGACAACAGAATCATCATCAATTCCGTACTTCGGAAAATCAGCCAAGTAGAAAGCCGCATGAGTATGCGGCGTTCCTCGTTGCTGAAACTCGTCTCGCCAGAAGAAGTCAGTAATCTCACCGATAAGAGAAGAATGTTTTCGCATCATGCCAATCAAATGAGACCGTCGATTTCCATGATTTGAACACCGCGCGGCTGTCACCGGATCGTCTCGAATTAGACGAGCCTTGACGGCCCACGGAAGTTCCAAAGCTGCATCTTCAGAAAGCTCAATACCAAACGCCAACTGATGTAGATTTCGAAGCAAAGCGGCCCAATGAGTTTCAGCCATCGTGAACGTAGCAAAAATCTGAAACGGACGCAGCTGTCTAATCATACCAAACGCTTCTCTCTTTCCTTCTCGATTATAGTCAGGACTTCCTCGCAACGTTTTGAAGTCACGGAAACCCACATTCTGAGACACCAACGAAGTTTTGAACGAAGCAGTTCGAAGTTCTCCGGCAGTCGGAAAAGTCCCCCCCCGCAGTTTCTTTTTCCGCACACGCAACCAAGACGCACGAGATACAGCAATTGTCTGAAGCTTGCGGTATTTATAAAAGATGTTACTGGAATGCTGAGCAAAGCGACGATCCTCATTCGTGAGTTCGAATTTGCAAAGCTGGCTATAACTTAATGCAATGTCTGGTCTCGCCAGCCCATTGAATAGGCAAGGAAAGGCCTTTTCCTCGGCTAACGGATCTTGCAGTATCCGACTGGAGTTTCAATGCCCTTCTGCTGGGGCAACATTGACACCAAACGTATGTGACGTCACAAAGGTCGGCACATCTTGCAGCATCGTCTCTTCAGGCGGAAGTCTGTCGTCATCAATCAAATCGTCATCGGAATCAGAAGAAGAATTTGTCTCCGCGGCAATCACCCCGCCCTCAAGCCCGAGCTGATTTTTAAGACGCAGCACTTCCACAGCATCCGAAGCTGCAAACTCGCCGGTACCGTTCAACCAATCAAACCGAATAGTAACACGCGCTTCACGCCACAACGTTGGATGAGAAACCAGAAATTCTAAAGCGTCACGAAGTTTTGCAGGCCGCACATTTTCGGCAGCACGGTAACACGCTTTATGTTGAAGTTTGTACTTTATGGCAACAGGAATCGTACCTTCCGAGTCCACGAATCTAGGAAGTGCGAGCTGAATTTTACTAAGATCAGCTGGCACATTAACCACCATTCCTTTCAAAGCAAGCTGTCCCAACCTTCTAGGACCCCCAGCCACAGATGGTGGCAAACCGCGCATTTTCATAAAAGCGAGCCGCATGGCAATCAAGTCATTCTCCATTCCGCTGAGACCCCGAAGAGCGGGAGCAAGCGGTCGAAAATCTGGTTGCCGACACGGTGCACCAGGGGGACACTTGCTCTTCGATAAGTATCGATAACATGTTTTACAAACCCATTCCTTGGTTCCAACAGAACGTCGCCCTGACAGCCAAGTAGTAGATGCAGCAGAGTCCAGCCGGCCCCTTAGACCATCGCTCATTTCACACACAGAATGCGAAAACCAAGTGCGACGGCAGGAGCTACATACGTACGTCGGGCCCTCATCACTCAGACGTCGAAACTGACGACAAATGTCGTCAAACGAGGCGACACCAGCATCACTCGCCGACCTCATTCTAGTCGGCGTCATTGCTGTCACCACGTTATCGATATGAGCCTGAGCCTCCACACTGAGGCCTAGATCAAATTGTAACGGGAAATTCATCTTTCTCATAACTGCACACCTCCGTCCAGCGTAATCATGCACTTTTGCGGCTTCCAAGGGGGTTGCATAAGTACCAAGATCATAGACACAGTGAGCATGCTGAATGCGCGCTCGGTACCTCACACCACCATGCGAGAGTTCTTCTTTCACTCCAACATATCTTGGAAGACAGACAGGCCCTGCCGAAACCACATTAGACGCTGAACGCAGCTCAGTAGCACGACTCTCCCGCTCCCGCAACTTACCTTGCAGAGACACCAGGCATTTGTCAGCTTCCGCCCTCTCTCCTGCACCCAACGGCCTCGCAGCAGCAAAATTCAGCGGCCTCTTATACGCCCCGTCTGCCATCAATGCTCTCATTACGTAATCATAAGCCCTCGCAGCTCTCTCCTCAGTTGAAAACTATCCGACGTGATACTGCTTGCCAGAAACCATACACCTAAGCTCATAGGGAAAGATAGACCGCTTACGCAATCCCACGCCCCTGTACCTACCGCTCAGCTCAGTAGGCTGCACAGATTGCCCATCAGATTGATTAAAGGCACGAAACTGCTGCGCAAGGGTCAAGTAAGTCATCTCTACAGCATGCACCCCTCTCACAACATTTCCAGACTACGAACCCTCACAGCGTACTCAACTTCCTCCCCCTCCCAACCAACTACTTCTCCAGCGAATTGATCGAAGCGCCCATCGAGACTAACCACATGCACAAGATTTCCCAGCGAGTCTAACGAGCCATACCGATCCGCGTCGTCTGCAGGGGACGCCATGATCGCGCCCCCCTCAAAGCGCCACAAGCACCTGACTACCTACTTCCAAAAGAAACCGCGCAGCTGAGAGAGATGAAAGCATCGAACAAGCTTAGGCCGTACCACACGGGCATTGACAATGCGTACCTAAAAAGAAGTTCTACCAGGGGAAATAGTAACCGTCGATATCAGCAGACTCAAAATCGCAACCCACCGATCAACAAATGGGCCCGAGAGAGAAGAGCGCAGCACTTACACGTCAGCAAGTTAGAAGACCACGTGCCTTAGTATACAACCAAAATGTTCGATGCGTAAACTGACAACTGCGCTGCATGCGGGCCCAGTCGAAAAAACTTTCGCACCGCTATCCGGCCATTTTTCTATGCCGTACAGCGAGTTTTATCGTCGAACAGGGCCGACCCGAGCAGGTCGATTTGCGGGCCCGCGCAGCGGCGCCGTACAGCGGCAAAAAACCCAATATGTATGGTTGCCCTACTTCCCTACGGGAAGAGGCAAGCCAATATGGTTGCCCTACTTCCCTACGGGAAGAGGGAAGCCAATATGCGAACCTTTGGTTTGCTACCAGCCGCTCTTCGGGCGACGCTGTATGACGCCGCTCTGCGGAAGATAACGATGCGGAGTCTAGCTTGTTTTTCGGTTGCCCCTGATTCGATACGAAAACGTACGCAAAATCCCCCAAAAGATCCACACCTGGTCCGGGGCCAAGGACAGACTGGGCCGCGCGCCTTCATGATTTGATGCTACGCATCGAACGCGGACGCGAGTGGGCCGCCGCAAAATTACGTAATCATGTAACGTTCACCCTCGATTTCTCCAAACAGAGTTTTTGTAGAGCTGCCACGTGACATTCCGGGTTCTACGAACTCGTGCGAAGTTGCCACGTTGAAGTTGGTACCTCTGCCAAGCGCCTGACACTGCCTCTTAACCCGGTCATTGAGTGCAGAAAAAAGAAATTAGAATACCCTTAACTGCAATGGACTCCATCAGAATTGCACCCAAAGATGGTAAAGATGCGTCAAAGTGCCCGGGAGGAGGGAAGCCTGGTGACCTGGTATGCACTGCACAGCGCTTACAGTACGCACCGTACGAGGCTGTACTGACCATTGCGCTGGAAATATCCCACAACAAACTACAGAAAATCAATGCTCTGTTACTCCGATGGGAATTCACGAATATTTGCATGGAAGCTGTTGGGCGCCTGGATATTTGCCGCACACCGCAGGCTTTCCTGCCACCTGCGGCACATAGTTCGGTAGGCGCATCTCGACTATAGGTAATCCTATCGTAGGCGTCCTAGGTACAATCTGGGAGAACGGGACTGATCCGCAATAGCCAGCAAACGTACTTTGTAAAATCGGCCCGGTCGCCCCACAGAATAGGCAAGCCCCCACCGCCCTCCCGGGCGGTCTACCATGTATACCATGCACCTCAACATGAGAAATGCATACGTGCACCTGGCCGGGCCGGGGCTCGCGCGCGTCTGCATTCGACCCGGATGGATAGGCGTATAGTAGCCTGCTGGATACAATTATGCATGTAAGGAAGCTATAGCATGGCCCGCCGCGTGCGTGCGCATGATTACGGTTCACCAGATATGCATAAAATTGGCCGATGTGCCATCTTTGCGTGCATGCATATATGTGCATGATTGGATCACCCTTGCCAGGGGTGCTTTCCTCCAAGAGAGACTGCGGTGCCAAAAAGCATGCAGAAAAGGATCGCAAGGCGAGGCAGCTTTCTGTGCAAGGCACATCTGCCATGATCAGGGCGCGCAGGATTGCAATCCGCAGTCAATTATTTCAAGGCAACGAGAACCTCGAATTGTGCACCATGAATGCTCTTCATCATGCCGTTTACAACAGAACATAGAGCCGCCAACATCAGATTCTCCCGTCCAGAGTAAGAAGCGGCTTGTACATCTCTGGCCGTCGATCCCGGAACACACCCCAGCCAGCGCGCTGCCCCCGAATCTGGTCCAGGTCAAAGGATGCAACAATGACGGCTTCGTCCTTGTCGTTAGCGTCTACAACAACCTCGCCAGTTGGGCCTGCAGCAGAGCGGATTATGTTCCGTACAGATTTACGGAACACTGAACGACAGAGTTTGTCCAACTCACACTCGCTTGACGATGGTCCGGTACCCAGGTCCGTGTACTCTTGCTGACGGTCAGATAAAATGTAGTGATGCAATTTGCGAAGCAGACTTAACGCGACAGATTAGTAAGGCAATTACGACGTGACAGTCAGGCAATCTCTTGCTTATACATACCCAGATGTAAAAAGCGCGCTCTTTGAACGCAGAGGCTCTTTGTGTGCCAACTACCAACAACAACAAGTTTTTTGGATCAATTTCGAAAGGTCGGAATCTCAGCCGAAACTTTGACTTCGAGACCACTGCTTGGGCCTTCCTGCAAGTCGCCACGCAGATACACAACTCGACAACCAACAACTACTTGCACTTTCAATTTCAAATTTCAATTTGGGAAAAGTGAGCTTCCTCGCTTGACTCATTCCACCAGCAAATTTGCTCTCAAAAAGGGAATTGTTGACTTACGGTCTGATCGTCATGTCATCTCGAGACGCCATACCAAAGAATCCATTCGGGACACTTCTCGACCTTTTACCAAGCTTGTGGGCTTCGGACGCACCTGCGATAAACGACGTGCCGTAGAAGGTGATCTCGCTGTCGGGGTCCTTGAACACCTCCTTCCCTATCCGGTTTGACGCGACCACGGGTACCAGGTTTGCGCCCGCGTGCCCCTGCATAACGCGCCGCCAGTGGTGCCGCGAGTCGATCGTCGCGTCCTGGGGCTCGGTCCCGATGGCCGTCGGATAAACTGGAAACAGCAAAAAAGCGGGAATCGTAATCAATGATTTTTGGAGTCCGTAAGAGCCATCTTTGGCCCCCGAGACAGGAATAGAACAATTCTTTCCGTCAAACTTCGACGGGGCTTCTTCAAGCCGCATGGCCTGGTGCTTATACCGTCTTGAAAGTAGATGACGATCGGGCCCCCTCGAGATTGTCGGAAATACAAAAGCAAGCGTTTCTGAGACTCGAAGACAAACGCGTGTGAAGATCCTCAGTCCCTGAAAGCGCTGGGTCTACCAAGGGGCTTCCCTTCTCTTGCGTGGGTCCAATGAAGAACACGCAGACGCCTCTGAAGGTCCGAAACGTTCTGGATAATCTTGCAGTGCCAGAAAGGGCCAGATGCGATCCTCGCATCTGCAACAGTTTCCAGTTTGGAACGGTACCTTTCGTACATTCCGTTTCGTTCATTTCGTGAGATGGCTCCGGCAGCGGCAATGTCAGCCAGTCATTAGACTGAGCGATCAGAAGCACAATCAACTTGCTCAGCTCGAATGAGTAAGAACAATTACCCTTGCAGCAGATCGAATTGGCGTCCTCATCGAGCTGCATACCTCCATTCACGACGACAAGGAGAGGGAACGAGAGCCTGATGTCGAAATGGCGAGAGGATTCACGCAAATCGAGGAGCCAGCTCACATAAAATTTCCGCCCCCATTAGTGCCATCGACCGCGCCGCTTCAGGAAACCATTGATCCCAGCAAATCGCTGCAAAAGAGTGCCACATTTCAGAGTAAGTTTCAGTGTTTAGAGTTTTGCTGTAATGTATTCTCGAAGCCTTCCGGATGAAAACAGAAGCTCTACAAAGAACTCTACTCAATTCGGATGGTGTGATTGCCCATGATGACGACACACCAGATTAATCAGAATATTAGCTTAAAGACAGGAAATTTTGGAGGAATCAAGACAGCTTGGGAGTCATCATACTCTTGTCGTTCCTTCCCGTTAAGCAGAGATGAGCGTCCCTTCAATCAGTGCCTCACTAATAACCACACCATCTGGGATCTGGTCAGTTTCTTATGCTATCGCCTGCCAAGCAACTCTGCGAGCTGGAGCACGTCCTTGCTTGCTTGCATACTTATTGCTATTAATTTTTTTTTAGACACATACAAAGGCGGTTGTAACTTACCAACTCCTATGTCAGCGTATTTTGTCTTGAAGACCTGAATAAGAAAGCTGTGCAAGTCAGCAGTCAAACCGGGATGGGATGGAGACTGCAGAGCCATGACATTGCCTTCTTTCACGTTGGCATCAGGTTGAAAGGTTGGGCATCTAGTCTCACAAAGCAAGACGAGGAGTTGAGAGTGACAAGTCAAAAGCGAGTCGAGAGGCCTCAGTATCGGCCAATCTCAGAGGGGAATAGGAAGAGAAGGAAGGCACCTTGAAGCCTGTATCCCCAGGGTTAAAGTAGAACTTTTCTTGATAACCTGAAACCAGAAAAAGTACGTATTAGTACATCAGATACTATCGAATATCGGAAGCATCGCTGCATGGGGACAGTATATGCTTTGCATGTGGCGACTGCCGATGCAAAAGGTTCAATCTGAAGCTGTCACACAGTATGAAGGAGTTGACTTGCCTGTGCCATCGGGTATGTGCGTCTTTCTATAGAGGCCAAGTTCTGTGCCATCCGCGTCAATGACCACCACTGAATTGAAGTGGGCGTTGTTCGCTCTCTCAAAGAAACTCACAGGCAACACCACCGCCAGCTCTTTTGCGAGCGCCGCAAACCTGCAAGTCTAGCATAAGTTCAGCTGGAGCCCTTGAACAGGTACAAAAGCGCCCAGTCCCCTCCGTCTGTCATACAAACTTGAATCGAAGACGCGAGTGTCACAGGTCCCTGCCTGCAGAAGAGGACTGCTTGCGCTGATTACAGACCACAAGTCGTATAACTTGGAATTCTTCATCGCTTGTTGAGGGTGATATCAGGGGGGCTTGGCTAACCCACCTTGCAAGGAGCGGATGCCCCTCCCTCGGCTTCGCATATGAGAAGAGAGCCTCCTTCTGATGCTGACAGAAGTAAAGGTTCTCAAAGAGCTCCTGTATACAGAAGACGAGAACGACTCTGTCGTGCATTGGGGAACTTCAAAAAAGGGAGACAAGTGCGGCTGACTCTCACATGTTGGAAATCTGCAAGATTACGTGCAACTGCAACAAGAAATGATGGCCCTTGTCACAAGACTGGGAACCAGTGCAGGGAATCAGGTGTGCCTTGATAAAAGAGTAGCCAAGTGTATAGAATGATCTGTTGTTCACCCGTGGTTTACCATGGTGGAAGCTCCTAGTCTTTCATCTAAGTACAAAACCCAGCTCACCTGGATCAGGATGATTTGTGCCCCTTTCTTGGCTGCTTCGCGAATCATCCTGTCAGAAAATCAAGAGCTTATCTTGGCAACAAGAATGATCTCAAAAAGTGCCCTGATTGACAGGAATTGCAGAGGCACACAACGTGCTGGCTTGATCGTGACAGTATGCAAACAGATTTTAGAGAGCTGCTTATCATCGGATAAAAAGTGCTCACCTTTCAGCATTCTGGACGTTAGTAGCTTCATCACTGGTACACGCAAACTGAGTTGCTGCAACGCTCACTTTGCGAGGCATGTTGGGCCCAAGCAACAACCCCCCCTCCAATGAAAATCCCTCGTCTTGCGAACGCCTCAAAAGCAAACAGAGAACGTCGCTTGCAATCGCTCAGCCTTGTCTATCCTGTTAGCATTCCCTCCGAGCTTGAAATTGAACCTCCCTCAGCTCCTATATGCAAGCTGGCTGCCGAGAAGCAGAGCTGCGTTCATGCTTCATGAGAAGAACCAAACCCTAATTCCAATCTCTCCATACTTGACCCTCCGGGTTTGAGGTCAGAGTTAAGCGGCAAACCCTAGTTCTGGCGTGCCAAAACTGAGTTGCAAGTACAGAAACGACGTGCCTAGGTTAGACATAACCCAAGCCACGCAGCTTCGGCTAAAAGTAGCCATGAAAGGCTGAAGGCTGAAGCCACATGTGCACCGATTCCTTTCGATGCATGTATGTATGTATGTATAGCTGGGAAAGGACAGAAACTGGCAAGAAAACTTTATTAAAATTACATTGTTGAAAGGGTGGCCTCAGCGCCCAGGGGTGTCCTCTTTTCTCAGCCCCAGGAACGAGCTCAATAGTTCCTGAACCGCTTTTTTGACTGCTTCGTAGACAGTCACAATGTCGTACAGAGATTCTTACAGGGACAGGGGCGCTCCGAGCCGAGGGACGAGAATCTTTGTCGGAGGTCTCGCGCCAAGGTAAAGTTGCACCAAGGTGCCTCGCGAGGAAGCAGGGAATGAAAGGCTGGTGGAGTATGCTCGTGTTGTGCACTCCTCTTAGCTGCCACTCTGTGAATTACCCCCTTGACTGGGTGTCGAATGTTGCTCAAGAGAACTGCTTGAAGTTGGAATGTTAAACTTGGCTTTGCATTTATTTGCAGGGTCAATCAGATGGATGTCGAGGACCTTTTCTCACGTTATGGAAGAATTGTTCGTGCTGATTTGAAGGCGCGCTCTGATGTAAGTATCTTGGTTTAGCACTTGGTGATGAGCAACGAGTTCGACGTCCCACTTGTCAGTGAGATTTTTTTGTCAGCACTTTGCAGCCAATTGCGAGCACTTTTGCAACCGTGCGAGGCTCAGTTATTCGATGTGAAGCAATTGGAAACTCAGGTTGCTGAGTGTTGACATCTAGACATCTTTGCAATGTCCAAGGATATTGACCCTGTTTTTATTCTGCCTACTAACACACCTCTCATGCTTCTGCTTTTGCCGCTTCTTCAGGGCTCCGCGTTTGCATTTGTGGAGTACGACGATTACCGTGACGCAGATGATGCGATCAGGAAGCTGGATGGGTACACATTCATGGGTGAGGGGTTTGATTGCTGACATCTGCGCAATCGATAATTGAAGTCGACAGTGTCAAAATTCTGTTCCATTCTTCTGTGAGAACTGCATACACGGTCCTTGTTTGTTCACAAGTTGTCATATTTTGGGGTTTGCGACTCGCTAACCTGTCAGTCCTTGTTTGTTCGCAAGTGGTCATATCTGGGGTTTGCAACTTGCTAATGTGTTCAAATATAGCCTGCAACTTGCTAATGTGTGCCAAAACTGCCTTTACTTAGTGGATTTGTACGTGCTGCTCAGGTGGTCGTCTTCAGGTGGAGGCCAGCAGGCCTCCGCCTAGAATGCCGGTCGGGCCTCGCCCCGGGCAGCAGCCGGGAGGCTTATTCAATCGCCAAGACAAGCGCGTCGTGATTGGTGAGCAGATAATGTGGCATTCGCTCCCATTGCTGGCTAGCTCGTTCTGTGCACTTGGAAGGGTCATTCAATCTTGGAATCTCTGGATGCGCCCTCGTTTAATGAGGATGAACAGCTTTTGCTGCACAAGCGGAACATTGTCGCGCACATCTGGATTGGTCAGGCAGCCAAAACGAGGCTTGAATCTTCTCTTTGTCTGCCAACCCCTCTTGTGCTCTCGCTTTGTGTGCATTTCCAGAGGGCTTGTCCGAGCGCACCTCCTGGCAAGACCTGAAGGACTTCGGACGCGAGGCCGGCGCCGTCGCCTATGCGGACGTCTTCCGTGACCGCGGCAAGATTCAGGGGTGAGGCATTCTGGACAATCGGACGGGATCCCCGTCGCTCGCGTATGGAAGGTCGTCAGCGGACCCTGCTTGTGGCCCCGCGGATCCTGTCTGGTCTTCCGGAAGTTGGTCAGAGGCTACCGAGAAGTGGACGCCCCAGGGAGCCGCTACAGAGGGCGCTGCATTCGTCTTGGGGAGCTTTGCGGGCCGTGCATGGTTGGTGTGGATTCTGTGGACTCGAGTGGGGGCCCTTCACATGGGAGGGACGAGGGTCACTCTTGTGGATGTCCTGAGGGTTTGCAAACATGGATTAGGAGGCTAGCTGCCCCCTTGGGGCTGGAGGTAAGGAGCGGGGCATGCAAAGCTTGGAAGCTCCGACCTGGTTCATGTATGTCCTGCAAGCCTCATCATTTGCAAACCTTACCATTTCCCTGAGGCTCCTCCTTCTGATGCGTCGCTGTTTGAATAACATTCGGCATCCCTTGTTGGTAGATGCAACCTGTCATCACGTCAGGCCAACATGTTGGAAGCAACCTTAGGGCTTCGGTTTGCATATTTTCCCTTGTGCAATCAGACTACCCACCAGAAGAGTCCTCCTGTTGTCATTTGTCATCTTTCCGCCCCTCCAAGTGACTTCTGTCCTGCTCGTCGGAGTCACACCAGTCCACTTAATCATCAAAGTATGACCCTGATATGGTCGTACCTCCCCATCAACATCCTCACAACTAAATAGCTGCTCAGTTTGCTTGCATCACTCTGACCCGCCTGACTTCCTCTGCGCAGAGTGATTGAGTACCAGAGCCGAGAGGACGTGAGGAACGCCGTCCGCAAGCTGGACGGGGTGCGCCTGCAGGGGAACACAGTCTACCTGCGACCTGTGAGTGCACGTACACTTCCGTTTATTCGTTCGCTGTCTGCAAAGTACAGAGCATGCTGAGACTGGACCTTTGCGCAGCACTGACCTTTTTGGAGGCATTCCGATGTGTTTGGCTTCATGGACATTCCAATCTGTAATTGCAAGTTAAGTAACTTGCAAACGAGTAGAGGCTACTCTTGCCGGGTCCTCGACACATGTGCCCTCCGCCAAAATCGACCATTGATTCGACGCTTGGAGGACCTAGAGGTTTGCATCAGTCGGTCCTGCCGAGATATGTGCTGCCGAATCAGCACTTATAAAACACCCACCAGCTTCATGCACACCATGTGATATGGTATAGCCATGCTGTGTGAGAATTTATACTCCTGACCTTCTCAAACCATCACCACAAACCGGAGAAGCTGCATTGTTGGGAAGCATGTCGTTGGCAACTCACCAGCTCCAGTCCATCTTTCAGGAGGTCGAGAGCGGCAGCCGTGAGCGGTCCCACTCGCGCTCGCGCTCCCGCAGCCCGCCTCGTCGCCGGGACGACGACGACGATGACCGGCGCCGACGCTCGGACAGCGTCGAGGACCGTCGGCGCGAGCTTGAGGACGACGAGAAGGCGCGCTCGGCAAGCCCGCCAGTGCGCCCGCGCAGCGACTCCCCCCGGGAGTGAGTTCGCAAATTCCCACCTTCATTGATCTTGCGTTTGTTTGGCTGACTGTTCCCTTCTCTCTACTATACGCCCAAACAACGAATGCAGAAGTGGGTCTTTGTACAAGGTCTTAAGCCTTCATGTGTCTCGTAGCAACGGATGCTTGTCATAGCGTCTCCGCTGATTCAGGCGTGTCAACACGTCAGACCGATCGAGGCGAGAGAGTTGCAAGAGGAGGTACCTTTCAACTACGTGTTTTGGAAAATGAAGTGCTAGCAGCTGCTCTTCATGTGGTCAGAACGCACATTGACGGTGTGTGGTACCATTTGGCATCTCCGCTATTCAAGTCTCAGCAGTCTCGGTTCCCTAACTCTTTCTGGCAGCAGCAAGTTTTCATTCTCTGAATGATATCTTCAAAGCTAGAGGCCATGATTGATTCGTGCTCGTCCGATATGCAGCCGCTCCCGGAGCCCAGTTCGGGCTGCGTCCCGCTCGCCATCGAGGAGTCTGTCCAGGAGGTAAGGTACCACCAAGTTATTTTTGGCAAAGTCGTGTCGGATGTGTGTTGGACGTTTGCTGATTGTCTGTAGCTTGACGGGCTGCCTTGTCAAACCCTGGGAGTTATAAGTCTGGATCTCTTTTGGACATACCTTGCTTGTCATTGATGGACGGATTCTCGTCATCGACTGCCGGATGCATGTAGGATACCATTGCTGCTGGCGGTTTATTCGAAGGAGATATCCTGCTGATACAACCCTGCTTCGGTTGCAGCCCGTGAGGTTGGACGGCTCGGAACCCTTGCAGCAAAAGCGCTTCGATTGAAAACTTTCTAGGAGTACCTTTGCAGAAGGTCCAGGAGCATCGCCTGGCTTTGATTTTGGACGTCTCTAGAGTTAGACAGGCAAAGGCCTTGGGAGGTCGGGAAAGATTTTATGGTTGCAATTCGATCATGCACAATATGCGCCTGGATGGGAGACCAAGCTTAGTGTATGTAAGCCCTTCGAAGCATTGGGGAAAAGTGCATTCGTCGTTGAGGACGTCAGATCACTGTCACCTTGTCTGTGTTGCTAAATCAAGCCATGGGTGTGATCCAACCTTAATACGCTGCGTGTCCCTTGGATTTGTAATGACATGCGCGCGCCTATCATGAACCCATGGGTACATATGCAAGCTGGCTTGATGACTGTATTTGCAGCTTCATGTGACCCTTAACAGGCGATGAGCATAACTGGCGCGCAACCAGCCGAGTACAATCGGTCTATGCAAGAGTACATGGCCCGCTCAGCAGGGCTTCTGGCACTCCGAAATTGTATACGCGCGCGTAAGGTCGGAAGACAACCTGCCATATGCATGCAACATGAATTATCCATGGGACATCTATATAAGCTAGCATGCTTAGATTCACACGTGGATATCGCCCGCACTAAGCTACTGACGGTCGCGCGACACACTCATGGACACATACGCATATATCTTATAGCACATGCTTTGCTATAAGATCTTCACCAAGCTCTTGTACAATCAACTTCTACTGGTACATGAGCTTTTATCTATAGGACGCATGCTGAAACTCGCGCTCGCGCGACTGTCGCATCCATGTATAAACGCTCCAGCTAGCATGAGGCCAATTGCACACGTACATGTTTGTCATGAAAAAGCCGCTGCACTCGGCTTGGATCGGGTGGACGAAGCTCGTAGTATCTGCTATTCAAGTTGGCCGGCCGCTCGCGCGCCCGGTGCAACCACCCGGCCATGTACGAGCTAGCTTCGTCTGAGCATCATTTGTTCGAAAAGACTGCCGCCACCATCGTACCAGTACTCAATAAAGCTATGAGGACCTCGTAACATCAGTACAGACTTTGCGACTAAATGCAGAAATTCCGCATGGTCACAATCCAACGTTCAAACTTCACATACCAAAAGAGATTTGTGTGAGCGTTTTCAATAGCTATACTTTCGCAATCAGGAGCGTTACTGGTTCGGGCCAAATCACTTTCGGCCTCCGATGGATCTTTGGTCTGTACACACACGTACCGCATCTTTCTATTGGTCCTGCCATAGCTCTGCTAGGCTATGAAGTGTCCGATCGCTTGGTGCTGTAAGCAAACACTGTACAATACTAAAACGTCGCTATGCTCGCTCACTTGCATACGGCTTTGAGTCTAGCTAGGGCGGGCGCCAAATCTGGGATCCATTTCCCTAGAGCTCAAAACTCAATAAGCAAGACTTGACGCTGAAGGCTGCTCGCTCCTCCTCTTGCACATTTTGCTGAAACCAAGTCGAGCAGCCCATCGTGTATCATTTTTGCCCTTTTTGCATTCTTCTCGACTTTCTCAGAGGCTGCAGTCTTATTTTCCTCAGCGCTTCATACAGCCCCGTATGCGGCGCTCACGCTACGATTACTGTAGCTCAATCAGTTAGCATATCAATCGGCCCTCGAACAGGCAACCCCACTCTCCCTTGCTCCCGTTCAAGTCCCCTTTACAATAGACGTTAGACGGGATCCGCATTGAAGCCCAACTAGTATGGCGGGTAAAGATGCACGGCTCAATAGTTGTTTCACGTCCCTGACTTGGTCTTGAAAAGCCGTGACATCACGGAGGACCGGCTTTCGTTGCCGGCCCCGTCGCTGACTTTTCCGCTGCGGCTCTTCTTTCCCTTGTGCACGTCAGCAAGGATCTCGCGCAGGGTGGTGGTGACGTGGCTCATTGGGGGCCGTCCATCTGGATCCTGGGTCCAGCACATCTTGATCAGGTCTATGACCCGGGGGTCCGCGTCGGTCTTAACCAGGAAGGGGCGGATCCCCGCCTTGACGACGGCTTCGGCAATCTGGAAACGAAAGGAAGGGGTTAGGAGTCTGATTCTCAAGTGTCGAAGGTTTTAAAGAAATATGAACAATTGAAGAAGGTGAGTCATGATTCTGAATGTTTCACAGGGATGTCTGGCGGAGTAAAGCTTTTACCATAAGAGACTTTCAGGAACAAAGGGTTTGAAGGGTTCACAATCAACTTGGGCCTTTGTAGATGAAGCAAGGCCCTCTGTAACGTGAGAGGATCGTGATCAATGTTGAAGCTTGCATGGATGTTCAATTGATGCAATCGGGAAGGTCCAAAGGAAGTCAAGGTGCAGAAACGCACTGTTTTCGTGGTTCGAACAGACTGCGGCCACTTGCCCGCGAATCGCGGAACGGTATGGCGGAGCGAAGCAACTCGGCGACGAACAGAGCAGAACGAAGAAACGAGCAGAACCGAAATCTACCGTCGAAGAGAAGGGAGGGAAGAAGTCTTCGAAGGCTCGATGACGGGACTGAATATAGGTCCAGAAACCAAACGCCTGAACTTTGCCTAGGCTCCAAGAGGCGGTGGAAAGGTCAGCAGACGCGTAGATTCAATGGTTTGCCGCGCATTTCGACAACCTGGCTTCCTGGCCAAAGTTGGAAGCGAGACTGGGCGTTTCTTGATCAACCACTTTCCGCTATCGGACGGCCCAGCTTCTCCATTAGGCACAGTTTAACTCCGGGTATTCTCAGTACCGTGGATTTTACGACACATGAATCAATAGACGGGTTTGGCCGCCGCTTACCTGGAACGGCGCTTGGCGGACCTCGATGAAGGGGGGGTAACCGCACAGCACCTCGTTCAGCAGGACGCCGAAGCTGCAAACACAGATGAACGATCTCAGATCGGACTTAAAGGAGCTTACCCGAGTAAGGTCGATCAACCCTCACAGGTTAAACGACGCTCGACCCAAGCCCTAGCCAAGCGTGGGTCCACGCCGTTAATCGATTGCGGCCGGGAGATAGTATCTGCCCAAGCAGTCGCCATTGAGCGGTGTTGACAGACAGCGCCCGTAAGGACAGCTCAAAGAAAGGCCTCTACCTTTGATTTACTTTGTGAGCACCAAAAGGTCAGGTGCTGCAGTCGAAGCTCGAGAGCCTTGAAGACGCGATGCGGTGGCGCTCACCTGTACACATCGCAGCGCTGATCGTACTTGTCGCTCCGGATCACCTCGGGTGCCATGTACATGAACGTACCTGGCAGAAGAAAGGGTTCCCGTAACATCAAACAAACGACTCAAAAAGGAAAGGGAGGGAATGCGGGCAGCAGGGATTGGAGACCAGCAGGCCCCCATACATTCAACCGAGTTATTGGAAGTCAATCGAAGGTCGCAACCGGAGACAGCTGCTCGGTGCGTATGAACCCAGAAAGCTAGAAAGCTCGTGGGGCATTAAGTTCCGGGGGCTGACTGCCCATAAAGCAGGCCGGGACAACAACTGCGGTACCGTTCTGTTAAGAGGTGTGTGCTCGGAGGAAGGTTGGGACAAATCAGTGGACAGATCCGAGAAAGGAGACACAGAGCAGACACTTGACTTTAGTATTAGGAGTAAAAAATCGGTTACTCGGAGCAGATGGAGGAAGCAAAGCACAGGCTGCCTCTCGTCACGCTGACATCGTTTCTCCCCTCATTTCAAAATTCGGACCTAAGAAGAAAAGGAAGAGACGGAAACGGAAGGCCGGCACAGCACCTGTGGCCCTCGTCATGCTGATGTCACCCGGTCGTAGCAGCCGCGCGAACCCAAAGTCGGACAGGAAGGCGTGGCCATTCCCGCCAATGAAGACGTTCGACGGCTTCAGGTCCCTGCGGAAAACGCGGCAGCCGTTTCTATCTGGATCAAGTCAGGTTTCTATCGTTTCGAGAAAGTCGGACCAACTTTACTTGGCTGGCTTTCTCTAAAGTGGGCGTCGTCCCGGGGCGGCCCAAAACGTCAGCACCGGTCGCGCCTAAGCAGAAAATCAGGCACGGGGAATGGTACCGCCACTTTGACTTTTTGGCGACAAAACGGCCGAGGGCCAACCTGTGCAGTCGCCATATGACGTCATGCGGATGCATCCGCAGACACCCTCTTTAAAGTTTTACACTAATCCTTAGTCAGGAGTTTCTGTTTTGAAAGTGTCAAGGTGCTGGAACGGGGAGGGTCTGGATGACCTCTAGACTCGACGAACGCGCCAGGATCAGTTTCTGTGATTGCGTCAAGACCTCAGGTAGTGGGAGATACTAAAAAGACCGAACGTGTGGCGAACATGTTGGAGCGAGCTGTGTGTTATCGCGAGCGCGCATTCTTTTACAGTCAACGCAAACCCTCCATGAAGCTTCTTGAAATTCCCGTCGAACGAGACCGGAAAAGTGCAGCTCATGTACCCGCGTTCCGACCAAGTCATGCTTGCCGCAAAACCTGACGGACAAGTTTAGGAGTGGGGTCGCTTATACGACTCACCTATGAATGATCATGGGCTTTTGCTCGTGCAAGTGTTGAAGCGCCAGCGCGACCTGGGACAGTGAAATCAACGAAGCGATTGGCGAAAGGATATGGATGTTGAAACTTCTGTCGTTATGCCTGTTGACCCAGCCAGCCGAGCCACGAAAGTGAGGTGTAGGAGCGAGCTTCTTAGTGGTTTAATCGCTTCACGCAAACTGGACAGCGATTGCCGAGATCAACTTTTGAGCATTTCTGATACAGATTGCGGTGTCACGGATACTGGAACCTGAGCTTGTTAAGTACGAGGGATAGCAACCTTGAAACCGCAAGCGGACTCCTTGTCCAGGGCCCAAACACACTGCTGCTAGAGCTCCTCAAGAATTGTGCAATTTATAAGCCCATCAGATCAACAACCGCCGATTCACTATACCAAATACGATCCAAACCAGACTCCAAACGGGATTCAAAAGTCCCGGTTTCTGGACCCTCTACCCTCCCTCCCAAACTTACCTCCAGCCCAACTCGGAGCCGGTCCTTCATCGGTGGCAGCGGGATCTGCCGCGTCGACTTTCGTTCCGAGCACCCGTGGAGCCACATGGTCATCGTGCTGTCCATTAGGCTGGTGACAACATAGCACTTGTGGGGAATGTCGAGGGTTCCAGCGAGGAATGGCAGGATGTGCGGGTGGCGCTGCGTGGAGAAGAGCTCGAGCTCGCGGCAGAAGGACGTCAGGCTGCCCTGCAGAGAAAGAATACGAGAAGCGTTCCTTTTCGGAACCCTTTGCGGCCATTCAGAGGCATAAGCAGGAGGCATTTTCTCTAGGGAGGCTCTCACTTTAGTGTCGCCCTCATTTGAAGGCATTGCCTCCTTCAGAAAACCTTGCTTCTAAGAGAACATCATTGCTTGTTTACCGAGACTTATCGCTCTTCAAAAAGGGTAGCTGACCGTCCATAACTCTTGAAAGTCAGAATGCATTAGGAGCTGCGCATCTCAAGCAGGCTTGTGTATGCAGCCAACAAAGCAGTCCTCCAAACAAGCTGTAAGCCGATTGCACCAACAGAAAAGCCTACTTACCAAGTCATCAAAGCAGGACGGATCCAGCACTTTGACAGCCACATCGAGCCCGTGCCACCGGCTCTTATACACCGTTGCAGTTGAGCCCTTCCCCAGAACCTCCCCCAACTCAACATCCGAAGGCTCAATCAGCCAACCGGACCGCTCGCCAACAATGGGCAGCAGACTGAGGCGCTCCTGGCCTGAGTCTCCCAGCTGTTGCATTCGCGTGGTCAAGCTCCGCATCAGCTTGGCCGTGAGCTGAGTTCCTGGCTGGAAAGCACAAGAGGAAAATGTTGCAAACACAATTGGAATTGCAGTTGGCTGAAGGGATGCACGTTGGTGGGTAGGCAGAGCAGGAGCCGGTCAACTTTTCACTTTGAAATACTTAAAAGAATATTGAGAGGATGGCTCCTTCATTAGACACTTTGAAGGGAGAGCCCTACACTAGCTGTATGTCCTCGTTTGTATCCCCTCTTCTTGAGTAGTCTTGCCTTTTGTTTGTGAACTGCTCTTTGAGTCTGAGTTGTGTGAGGGTGTTACAAGGATTGAAAGCGTCTAAAGCTACAGCGCATTGGAAGCGGTTGGGGACATTGAAAGCATGCTCTCTCAATCTGTGTTGTGGGGGCAAGCGCTAGGAGTTGAAAGATTACTCGAAGAATGATATGCATTCAAAGGAAACTGTATTGGACATTGCAGCATTGACCTGTAAGAGGTGTGTTGTGCTTTCATTGAAAGGTGGTGGGAGGGCGCCGCTTTAACAGACAACAGAAACCCTTGTGAGGTATTTCAATATGCAATTCAGTTCCTCACCGGGTCCTTCTATCTTGTTGGCTTTCAGATGTTCCAAAATCTATTTACCCCCAGTGCCGTGAGTGTCTACGGAAGCTTGATTACATTGCAACACATGTGAAGCATCCGCACACACCTTTGCAAAACCGGGAGATCTTGCTGACCCTCAAATCAAAGTCAAAGAACCAAAGAGAATTTGAGCTTCATGTTGCAACGGCGCAAACACATTGAAGCAAGATTAGTCTGACGGATTGGGCGTCATATGCTGCAGCGGCGCACTCACCATTGTTGAAGATACTAGCGGTTCAAATTGATCCTCTTCCTCCCCATTGAGATCCAAGCTGTCTGTCTCGTCCTTCGTAGTAGACGCCATGGCAACGTTTGCAATGCTTGCAATCTGCAGCGCCTGCAACTCAACGTCTGACTTCAGGAGTGGAAGTCAGATGAGAGCACTTGAGGCAATGCTCCGCTCATGCACTGCGAGCTGTCAGAGTTAAATGACGCTCGCCTTGTAAGCTCTAGTCCTCCTTCAAAGCAAAGAGGGTGGCGTTCTTCTTCCATGACAACTTGGCCATCTAGCTAGCATTGATTGATGAGAGCTGCGCAGATTGCACAACCCAAAGGAAGCTCTGACGGGCCGGATGAGGGTCGGATTTGGTCTTCCTCTGATGGTGTACGCTACCGGAAAACAAAGGACAGCTTCTCGGATTCTTGTCGAATCGAATCCATCAAGCAGGTTCTGCCTGCAACGAGCACTCGATTCTGAATTTTTGGCGCGGCCCCCGACCAGCTGTCCAAAGTCGACTATAATTGCAGGCACTGGTACTTTAGGCACCGCTCGGAGTGGAGGTTCCGTTCGTCCGAGCGGTACGGTACCAGCGCGGTGCAAGGGACCGGAATAGCCGACTTACAAAGACAGCTGGCCTGGGTCAAGGAGAAGACGCGAGTGCGCGCCGCAGGCTGCTTTTGGCGGAGGTGAAGCGGCCGCCGGTTGAATACGGCCAAAGTTCGAGAAAGTTTCGAAGCGGGGCCAACGTGGCGCCGGGTGAATACGGCCGCTCTTGGGTCGTAACTTTGAAGCGGGCCAACGTGACGCCGGGTGAATACGGCCGCTCGTGAGGCATTTGTGCTAGAGCGAGCTGCAGCTGGCTTGCTGCGAACGACGCAATTGGCGCCGGGTGAATACGGCTGATTATTAGAAGACAAGCAGTATGTGGTCGACCGTCTGCATCGTGGCAGGCGAGTTGGGCTTCTGATGTGCGGTTAAGCAATAACGTGATTGCACCCGCTGGAGGGGATGCTGGTGGATCATGCGAGCCAAGTCCTGGGGAGAGCGGACGCTGGGAAGCGGACATCGGCTGGTCGGGAGCCGACTGGTGAGCGTTTCAGCATACATCACGAAACGTCACCCAATAC